CTCTCTTCAATCACCTTCCTGTCCTCCCTAGGCCTTAACATTTCTTCTAGGAAGATCTATTCCATGATCTTCCCAGGCACAGAGGCGAGGCTGACAGGTCAGTGGTTCCCAGGGTCTAAAAACAGTAGTGTGATTGCCTGACATCCAGTCACTAGGGACCTCCCCTGACTGCCAGGACTTTTCAAATACTATGGACAGTGGCTTGGCAGCTGCGACAGCCAACTCCTCCAGTACTCTGGGGTGCCTCTCATCGGGCCCCACGGACTCGTGCACGTTATCCCCCTTTCCCAGGGGATGACGAGGAACCGCCAGCCCCGTCTCTACTTCCAGCCGAGTACTCACCAGCACTCGTGTCCCCTTGGTGAGAAGGTCCCCGGTGACGGTGAGCTCCGAGGAGTTCATGTCGGCCTGCAGCCGGTAGAGCTCGGGGTGCCGGCACATCCACCTGCTGAAGCTGAGGGCAAAGCCCAGGGGGTACTGCCGGCGGGGGGCCGGGCAGGGGGTGGGACGCGCCGTCAGCCTGGGCTCGCACCCCCTGCCCAGGCCCCACCAAAAAAACCCTGCATTTCCTTGGGAAACTCACGGGTGGAGACCTCTTCCCTCCCACCACCTGGGGAAGCCAAACAAAAAAGAGCAAAAGAGAATATTTTGGGTTGAGTGGTTGTTTTACCTGCTCGTGAAGGTAGTAGTTGAAAGAAATCAAGTAGAAATAGCGTTCAAGGCTCTGCAAAGTCCTCTGGAGGAAATACTCTTTGGTGCTGCTCCCCTGCAAGGCAAAGACAGGTGACATTCGTGATGCTTAACACTGATTTGCAGCTCACTTAGAGGAGAGACAAGTGAGTAGCTAACAGACCCGAGTTTGTTTTTGTTTTTTTTTTATTTATGAATCACTTTTTTGGGGGGGAAGAGAAGCAGAAATGTCATTTAGGCCCCTCAGAAGGCTTTTTGCATATTCACGCTAAGATCAAGTTTGGAAAGAAACCACTTCCAAATGAGAGGAGGGAGGGAAAAATCTACAAAATCCCATCCGGAATATAGGGGGGGTTTATGCCTTTTTTTTTTTTTCAAACAAAACATTTCAAGTTCTCCATATTAAATGATGCTTAAAGACATAAATTTGCCTTTCAGCTCAAACAAAACCTTCCCTTTAGCCCAAGGACACACCGGGAGTGGTTCCAACCAGACCCAAAGGGTGTTTCTGTCCCAGGGAGATACACTGTCCAGATGCTACCAGGAGACACAAACCCAAGGGGAGGGGTTTGGTTAACGCCAGGTCCAGCCCCACCTCCATGGCCTTTGGCCAAGATGTTTGGGTGGCAGCATCCCTGGGGAAAGAGGTCCCCATGCCAGTGATGCCATGGGTAGGGATGTGAGGAGCCTGCCAGAGATATCATCTCCCAGCTCCGTGCTTTGTGCAACACCAGAAACGGGCAGAGACCTCTCAGGGACACACATCTGCCTCTAAAGCCCAGCAGGACCTCCAGGACCTGCTCCAGAGTCAGTACCCTATGGAGAGTGGCATAATGATGGGTGATGCCAGACCAACTCAAATAAGACCAAGATGACCTTATTCAATAGAGACTCAAGCCACACTTACTGTAATATCCTCCACTCCCAGTGTCTCCTTTTCCCTTCATCCCCAAAAGCATTATTTAGGCCAGAGAGAAGGAAGAAATTTTTTACACTGAGGGTGGTGAGACCCTGGCCCAGGTTGCCCAGAGAGGTGGTTGAAGCCCCATCCCTGGAACCATTTCAGGAGATACTGGACAGGGCTCTGAGCAACCTGCTCTAGTTGAAGCTGTCCCTGCTCACTGCAAGGGTGTTGGGACTAGATGGCCTTGAAAGATCCCTTCCAACCCAAAACATTCTGTGATTCTACAATCATGATACCATATAGATGGCTTCAAGCATGCTCTCCTCCTCATCATCATCCTCACCATTACCTAAACAAGGTTTGTGTCCCAGCACCGCTGCTTCCTCCCAGAGACATGAGCTCAGGATTCCCATAATTCAGAAACCACCCCAACGCTGCCTTGGGGCAGGGTTTGTACATCCAAGCATCCCCTCCACCCAGCACAGGGTCTGTGAGCATCCCCAGAGAGCCAGTTGGGACCTCAGAATACGATGGAAAATCCTTTATGAGGGGGCTGTATATGTATGGGGGTCAGCAGGGTTTGCTCATCTGTGACTGACTCATGAATATTTACTTGTTCTCCACGAGAGAAGTCTTGCCCACTGTCATTTATCAAGAGGCAGAGCAGTGTGGGATTTGCTCTGGGAACTCAAAACAAAGGCTGTGAAGATGGAGCCATGCCGGGGTTTGCTAGCAGAGGAGCACTCCATCCCCAAGCACTTGGGTTCCTGCAGGACAAACTGGCCCTGAGCTCTCACCCAGGGTAAATATCTAATTATTCCCCATAAATAAGCTTTTGATGAAAAGGGAGATGATCTGCTCACTCGCACTTGAGCCGTGGAGGGTGGGGTGCCACGGGGCTCCAGCTCAGCATCTCACACAGGATGCACCTACCTGGCACCACCATTGCTTGAGGACTTCAGTCTCCACTTCTAGCCCCCAACACAGGGCAGAAGCCAACAGTCCAGCATGAGATCACTCCCCAGTGCCTAGAAAAACCCTTCCTCTCTCCAAAATCATAGAATCATTAAGGGCTTGGAAAAGACCTCCAAGATCATCAAGTCCAACAATCAACCCAATGCCACCATGTCCTGAGCAGAACAATATCAAGTGGGTCAAAGCCCCCTGGTATCATCCACAGCCTCTCCAGCCCTACCAAGCCCAGGCTGCCTTTTTTGATGGCCAAGCATCAGCCCCTCACCCTTCCTTATTCTCCCCTTCTAACCCTCAGCACATTTTCCTGGACCTTCGCCATTGTTTAAACCTGCTCTTGCTCCATGCAGACATCAAATAAACACTCCCCATAGCTAATTTACAACAGTCCCCCAGCCATTTGTCATAGAGGATGACATTGAGCAGTCTTCCCCAGCAGGGAAAAGCCAGGAAAAGGCTTGGAAGCAGTGGGAAAAACCTCTGCCCCATGCCCAATCTTCCACCGCTATACAAGAGAGTACCATCGCACAAACAGCACCAAACATACATTGAGCAGTCTTCCCCAGCAGGGAAAAGCCAGGAAAAGGCTTGGAAGCAGTGGGAAAAACCTCTGCCCCATGCCCAGTCTCCCACTGCTATACAAGGGAGTACCTGCCATCGCACAAACAGTACCAAACATACCCAAATCCACCCTAAAAGGAGACAGGGGGTTAAAATTTGGGGTCAAATAACAAAAAGTGACAGTAAATGCTTTCTTTTCCCCAACACCGAATAATTTTTCTGGTGCTTTTCTGCTCCAGCTGATTTGCTTTGGCCATGCAGCACCTGGTTTTAGATAACCCTTTAGAATCGGCCTCAGCATTTCCACTCCAAATTTCAACATTTAAATGTGAAATGAATTTCCAAAGCAGCTGGGATTGGGACAGCATTTCCATGTGAGCACCCTCCCCCCACCCATCGCTGGGTGAGGAGCTACCCAGTTGGAAAAGGAGGGACCATGGCTTCCCAGTGTGGAAAACCACCTCAAGGGCTTCTAAAAACAAATGGAGGGGAAAAAAGATCTACAGATAGAAATGCTGAACATTGGGTGCCTATTTCACAGAATCACAGAAAGCTTTTGGTTGGAAGGGTCCTTTCAAGGCCATCTAGTCCAACCCCCTGCACTGAGCAGGGACATCTGCAACTAGAAGAGGTTGCTCAGAGCCCTGTCCAACCCCATCTGGAATGGTTTCAGGGATGGGGCTTCTACCACCTCTCTGGCTATCTGGGCCAGGGTCTCACCACTCTCAGCATCAAAAATTTCTTCCTTCTCTCTGGTCTAAATCTCCCTCTTTTAGTTTAAAAACATCACCCCTTGTCCTGTCACAACAGCCCCTCCTAAAAAGACTGTCCCCAGCTTCCTCAGCACCAGCTCCCAAAGACTTTTGCCAGCCAAGCTGGTATGGATTTTCCAGTTTCAGAGCTGACAAAACCAAAGCATGGGATATTATTTAGCCCCAAGGTCATCTCCCAGAAGCAGCAGCGAAGCCCAAAACATCCAACTACCCTCCAAGTCCCAGCCTGCTCAATGTTATTCAAGGATTGCAACAAAAAAAAAAGCAGCACATGAAAGCCCCACAACCTTCCAGGTGTCACGTCCCTGGGAAATCTCCAGCTCACAGGAAGCTTTGGATTTCCAGAATTTACATTCTTCTCTTTCCCATGCAAAAACAGCTCGATAAATGACCCTGCGCAGGTGGCTTGTGTCTGAGCTGTCCTCTCATCAACAGACCTGGATCTGATAGTCCTCCCCAATCCCTTCCAGCTTCTTCTTGTACTCGTAGATGGCTTCCTTCATGTCGTGCATCTCCGAGCAGGAGGCAATGGCACCATCCACCTTGCAAAGAGCAAGCAGAAAGCGGCTCAGCAAGCCCTGGATAGAGGGGGACAGACCTCAACGCCTCCCACCCACCCCAGCAGGGGGTTTGCCAGCATGCCCTTACCTCCTCGACTATCTGTTGGCCTTTGGGGACCATCTCGATGAAGGTCTGGATGACCCGAAGCCTGTCCCTGGGAGATGCTTTAGGCCGGTGAGGGAGGCTGGGGTGGGAGAAGAAGGAGATCAAACAGGCCCCAGGGGCACAGGCATCCCCCTCACCCCCAGGGGCTGCCCCACTTACTCAGGCTTCTGGGTGGCTCCTCGGTGGTGGTGGTGGAGGACAAGCGTGCCCATGGCCATGGCCAGATTGGTCCTGCCCACACCGGTCTGGCAACCGAAAAGCAGCGCCGGCGGGGGTCTGCCAGGGTCCCTCAGCAGCAGGCTGGGGCTCTCCTAGGAGAGAGAGAGGGACAGACAGATGAGGACCACAGGAACATCCAGGAGAGCCAGGTAGCTGGGGTGTAGATGATGGCTCTGCCCAATTGTGGAAGGCTGGGTGGAATCTCCTCTTTGCTCAGGGGATGATAGTGTGGATAGACCAGGACAGCACAATAAGCAGTTCACCCACTGCATCCTCCTGCCCTATGCCCTCTCCAGCCACCAGTGGATATTAGCCTGTCCATCCCACAGAGATATTCCTACCACCAGTCCCCAAGCTGCTGAGATCTCATCTCCTGGGCTAAAACAAAAAGAGATGCCCTGCCATCAAAAGCCTTTGCATTAAATCCAGATCACTTCTTGATCCTGACTTCCTGATCCTGAGCAACCTGCTCTAGTTGAAGCTGTCCCAGCTCAGGGCAGGGGGTTGGGCTAGATGACCTTGAAAGGTCCCTTCCAACCCAAACAAGTCTATGATTCTATGATTTCTCCCAAACCCACTTAGGGAAGAGCCACCTGCACAGGGATACTGGGAGGTGCTGAGGCACGGTCACCTCCAGCCAGGGGTAGGGACAAGGAGCTGGACAACACAGACTTCTTCAGCAGGGTCTACAACAATGGGAACGGGATGTAGTCATTGGCTTACCCTCAGGAAGCAGATGAAAGCATCAAACTGCTCCTCCAAAGGGGCTCCCTCAGAAGGCAGGGGCAGTCGATGGTACCTGCCAGGCACAGGGAGAGTCCTTGTTAGGAGGACAGGGCCACGGCAGAGCTCTTGTCCCCACTGTGGTGGAAGACACTTGGCTTAAGGGGGTATGAAGAGCCCAGCTTGGGAAAGCAAAGCCCCTGGCAACACGTGAGGAAGAGGAGGAGGAAGGGCAGCACCTGTAGGAGGGCAGGAGGAAGACAGGTCTGCGGTAGACCTCCTCTGTCACCTGGATGTCCTCCTCACACTGCACCCGCACAGTGTGGGGCTCGTCCCGCAAGCGCTCGATGTCATTGTAGACGTAGTAGACGTTCTCGCTCAGCTGTGCAAAGTCGTGAATCTAGCAGAGATGGGGACTCCTCATCAAAACTCATGGGGCGCCCACCACCTCCAACAACCCCCATGCTCATCTCTGAGCCAGGGCGATGCATGCACCCCATTGGCACCAGGGTGACGGCCCCCTGCGGTCACACCTCACCTCCTTGCGGATGGCCAGCTCCAGGCTCTCTGCCCGGGCACCCCGCTGCAGGCGCTGGAGGTTCTCATGCAGGTTCTCCTTGCCCCGGGGGGTGTAGGACACGAAGTCCCCCTCCAACCTCAGGAAGACCACAGGTTCCTCGCGGACGCAGAAGAAGACACACTCCTGCGAAGAGGGGCAGAAGCTGCCCAAAAGCTCTCCTGCCTTCCTCCATCCCAATTTCCACCCTTCCACCAACCTTGTGGCCTTCTCTTTGCAACTTCTGCAGCACAAGCTTGAAGCCATTGAGGCTGGGTTGCCCCATGCCAAACACGGCGTAACCTCCTCTGGCTTGTCGGAAATTGGGAGCGCCACAGCTGCCAGTAGTGTTCAAGACATCTAATTTGCCATATACATCCCTGACCATGAAATATTTCCCCTGCAAAACAAGATGGACAGAGAGAAGATGGGGAAGAAGTGGATTGGAGCAAGCTGCATAATTTAGTTAAGTTTAATTAACTGAATCATACCAAATTGACCCAAGTTATAATTGATTAACTGAAGTGTATAACTCATTAACATTAAGCCTGAATGCAGCTGGGAAGAAGTGTGTCTTTTTCTTGATGATCTTCAAAATTAGTCCCAAAAAAATCCTCAAGGTGCTCAAACTCCAGGCTGAAACAGGTTCAGCAAGGGGTGGCAGCAATGCTCTGAGCAACCTGCTCTAGTTGCAGATGTCCCTGCTCACTGTAGGGGGTTGGACTAGATGGACCCTTCCAACCCAAACCAGTCTGTGATTCCAATTCTCACCTGCACAAGGTAGTGTTCCAGCGTGGCCTCAGAAATGCGTCCCACTGTGTAGTTGGCCTTCAGCAGGTCATCGTGGATCTGAAACTCCTCCCTGCAGTTGTACCTGCAAAAGCCACAACGGGTGTATAAAAAAAACCAACAGGATAGGTCAACATAGGACTAGATGACCTTGAAAGGTCCCTTCCACCCCAAATCATTCTGTCATTCTATGAGAAGAAAGCTGGAGACAGTCTTTTTTAGCAGGGTCTGTTGTGACAGGAAAAGGGATAGGAGTTTTAAATGAAAAGAGTAGAGATTTAGAGTAGAGAGAAGCAAGACATTTTTTACACTGAGGGTGGTGAGACCCTGGCTCAGGTTGCTCAGAGAAGTGGTAGAAGCCCCAACCCTGGAACCATTTCATGTGAGGTTGGCTGGCGCTCTGAGAAACCCGCTCTAGTTGAAGCTGTCCCTGCTCAGTGCAGGGAGGTTGGACTAGATGGCCTTGAAAGGACCCTGCCAACCCAAACCAGGCTGTGATTTTTTTAAAAAGCAGTATTTCAGGAAGCGGGCGCAGAAAAACCGGCGTCTGGAGTTACAAGAAGCTGCCAAGGACTCACGTGATGACCACGGGCGCCACTTTGTTGGTGATGATGGACTTGGCCTTGCTGTTGTGGAGCCCCAGGGTCTGGAAGGAGTGGATGCTGAGGGAGCGCTGGTCCTCCATGCTGCCGGCGCCCGGCGCCCCGC